CCTTCCTTTTTTACCAAAAATCGACTGCACCAAAATTTCTGGGGAAAACACTTTTTCTTATTAATTTTGGGGCGTAGAATCCAAAACAATTCGTACGTTTTCGATTAGACCCCTCAATAAAGAGTTATGGACAAAAAACAAATTTTGAAAAAAAGTTCAAAGGGCTGTAACTTTTGAACTAGTAGCCCAATCTTGGAACTGTTTGAAATTATGGATTCTACAGGCCACATTCTATAAGAAACATTTTTTTCCGGGTCGATCTGAGACAATTTTTTTTGAGGGCCTCAAAAAAAGGCAGTGTACAACCTTCCTTTTTTACCAAAAATCGACTGCACCAAAATTTCCCGAGAAAACACTTTTTCTTATTAATTTTGGTGCGTAGAATCCAAAACAATTCGTACTTTTTCGATCAGACTTCTCAATCAAAAGTTATAGACTAGAAACCAATTTCGCAAAAAAATTCAAAGGGCTGTAACTTTTGAACTAGTAGCCCAATCTTGGAACTGTTTGAAATTATGGATTCTACAGGCCACATTCTATAAGACATTTTTTTTCCGGGTCGATCTGAGACAATTTTCTTTTGGAGCCTCAAAAAAAGGCAGTGTATAACCTTCCTTTTTTACCAAAAATCGACTGCACCAAAATTTCTCGGGAAAACACTTTTTCTTATTAAGTTTGGTGCGTAGAATCCAAAACAATTCGTACTTTTTCGATCAGACTTCTCAATCAAAAGTTATAGACTAGAAACCAAATTCGAAAAAAAATTCAAAGGGCTGTAACTTTTGAACTAGTAGCCCAATCTTGGAACTGTTTGAAATTATGGATTCTACAGGCCACATTCTATAAGAACATTTTTTCCGGGTCGATCTGGGACAATTTTTTTTTCAGGCCTCAAAAAAAGGCAGTGTATAACCTTCCTTTTTTACCAAAAATTGACTACACCAAAATTTCTCGAGAAAACACTTTTTATTATTAACTTTGGTGCGTAGAATCCAAAACAATTCGTACGTTTTCGATTAGACCTCTCAATAAAAAGTTATGGACAAAAAACAAATTTCGAAA